ATACCATCTTGATATCACCATGATGGCAACATCATACCACCATGATGCCTTTATGATACCACCATTATACCACCATGAAACCACTATGATTAAATATTTTAAAGTTAAATATTTGTAAAGATGTTATACAATACAAAAGGTATATAGCATGTTAAATATGAGTGATTAAAGCTCAAAGTATTGGTATTTTTACTGTTACATGCATTAAATCAGATGCCATGCCTCAAAACAACTCAGTTCTTTTCACTTATCAAGGTCAGTGCTCAAACCTAGTCTTCTGGTCCTTTACACCTGCTTTTTATTGTCTTTTATATACAAACGTATTTAGAACTTTGTTTCACTGACACTTTATATTTTGATTGCAAAATGCCTCCATGTGCAATGTTGCCAGGTGTTGTTGGGACTGCAGAGCACAGCTGAAACATAGGTTTACAATGAACACGGTTTAGACTAAGAGTGTTTCACAGAACCAGAAGCAGGTTCATTGAAACACCATTGCATCTCAAAATGCTGACATTAGTCATGTGTATTAGTCATAAGCATCTCCATAGTTATAGGTGAAGGGGGCACGTCGACCTCACAATTAAAAAATATTTGTCTGGACCCCCTCATTTACCATGAAATATTAGTTCACTTCACACTATTTCTTTGTGAATGAATCTATTCCACTTGATTAATAGGAAAATGCTCAAACCACTAAAAGTCCATCCATCCATTATCTACTCGCTTCTTCCATTACACCAGTTTTGGCCTCCCTGCACTGGTTACCGGTTCACTTTCGAATCCAGTTCAAAATACTCATGTATGTCTACAAATCACTGAACAGTTTCGCCCCCCCCTTATCTCTCTGATCTGCTACAACCGTATGTCCCTCCACGTTCCCTGATGTCAGCGGACCAATTGCTCCTCACAGTTCCAGGAACTCGTCTTAAGCACAGAGGTGACAGGGCCTTCTCTGTAGCAGGACCAAGACTCTGGAACGAGTTACCTCTGCTTGTCAGACAGGCCCCCTCCCTCTCGGTTTTCAAGTCCCGTTTAAAAACTCACTACTATTCAGTAGCATTCAACACCAGAGGATCTGTGTTTTGAACCTGTACGCTCCACACTGGTTTGTCGTCATTATCTACATCGTTTTTATGTCTATATTTCTGATTTACTTCATTTTGTATTTTGCTTTGTGTGTTACCTGTTGTTCTGTCTGTACAGCACTTTGGCTGGGCTTGTCGCTGTTTTAAGTGCTCTATAAATAAAATGGTATGGTATGGTGTGGTATTTTGGGTCACGGGGGTCGCTGGTGCCCATGTCCAGCAATCACTGTGCAAGGGGTGGGGTACACCCTGGACAGGTCGCAAGTCCATCACAGGGTCCTACTAAAAATCCACTCCGGATTTTCTTAGTTTCCTACAACAACTCACCACACTGCAAGCAGTGTTTCTCCAAGGTTGAGGGGGCGGGGGGAGGAAGGGGAGACACCTCTGTGATGCACGTTAGCTTAGTGCCACATTGGTGCCAGCAGTTGTGCCGGGGGAGGGGGGGGGGGGAGCGTGAGAGAAGTGGAGCATGCTGATCTAGTCAAACAAGGGGAGCTGTTGGTCAGGCTATTTCTTGTGTCGTGCTCTCTAAAGTAGTTACTGATTCAAATGTTTACATTTGTAGGTTAACATAGATGTTTAGTTAAAATACACCAGAATGCAGGAAATGGCATCTATTCAAAAAAAATTGGGGGGGGGAGGACCCCCAGACCCCCACCATCAGTTTGTCCCCCCCACATTACAAACTCTTCTGACGCCAATGGAACTACTGTAAAAAGGTCAATGCAGAGGGTTGTAAACACAAGAAATCGTTGGTGTGAACACTGACTGGACATTTACACAATGACTCTTGTTTAGTACCTGATTTGCAAACTGGTTGGAGGGGAAGGCGAGGATGCGTAAACCTCTCTCAGCGTACTCGACGTGCATCTTAGCAAACTGAGAGTAGTTTACGGGGGTCTTGCCTCATTTTGTTGCCACATTGGTGATGATGACAACATAACCCCTAAAAAAAAAAACGACAGGCACAGCATGAAACAGACTGTAGGCTGATGAGAGGAGAAACTGCGTCACTGTGGAGTTTACCTGTACTTGTCCAGCGACACCTCATTTCCATCGATGTCTGTTGCATTGAATTCATAAATAGACGTGGCTCTCTGCCAGTCCTCTGCAGGCAAAGACTGGTGAACAAAAAGAAACCTGGTAAAACACATTTCAAAACAAGCCTATTGTACAAACAAATAATAAGTATATGATGAATATAGCAGTACAACTGACAGATTAGGACTAAACAGAACAGCTGGACTGCTCCAGTTTCAGTGCAGATTTCATCTTACCAGAGCCTGCAGCAGGACAGACAGGAGCACTGCGCACCCTGCGAGGCGCATGGCTGCCTGTTAGGGCCTCAGCTGATCTCCAAACCAAATGCCTTCACCTACGCCTCTTTATTGCTGGTCGTCTGAGCTGAGAGCTGTTCTGATCCAGTGCAGAGGTTTGTCTTTAACAGAACAGAGAAGCTGGCACTCTCCAATAGGTCCCTCTCTGGTTTTAGCAAACAAATCCTGAGCAAAGAGACACGTGTCCTGCAGGCCAGAGTCCAGTCCCTGAGTGTGACATAATCTGAGTCATGGCTGAGCTGCATGTGACCCAGCTGGGCAAAGAGCGACTGTCTAATCAAATACTAACTCACTGAGTAATGGGATTACTTATCAGCTGATACGGAGTCATTCACTGAGGTTTGGACACATTTTCACCAAACCTCTTAAAGTTACAAAACAACAATACGTTTTAAAGTCACCTCCAGATGCTGCACAGAGGTTAACATCAGGAACCCATCCAGTCACTGCAGGAGGTTAGGGTGCATTGTTCCCTCATTTTAATCCTCATTACATTCAGATTTTTTACTTGAAATAAAACATACTCCAGTAACAGTAGAGTGCACAAAATCACTGCTCACTCACAGCGATGTAAATGTAATTCTCTGCATAAACCTCCATTTTATTTATTAGTCTGATAAAGTTGATCTGATGTTGAAAATCTTTGACAAGCTGCCCTGATCCTGATAGAACCATCAAATTAGATCCAACACTTTACTGCTTATATGAGGTGCTTCTAGAAATACATAAAAAATGTTTAGAAACACTGAATTGTTCTCAGACCAGTTCAGTTTATAGCCGGCATCTTTTCTTTGCTGAGAGTTTTGTAAAAGGACAAGTCAGCTGTTGTGCAGCTTTTTTACTGCTCGTAAAAACAAGCGCGTGAACTCAGTTTGCATCAGTCAGAAGAGTTTGTCAGATGTCCATCTGCAAATCATTTTATTTAGTAGGACGATTTACTTCAGATCGTTCTCAGATTTTTGCCACATTGCAACTTTTAGGTCTGACTTGGCCAACGGTGGTGAATCCAGGAATGTTTTGACATTTCAGATTACGTTGTCATATATCGGTCATTTTGACAATTACAGCGAGTTAGGGAATGACCCGATTTAAAAATCTTTTGTGTACATAAAACTGTCGGGCAAGGTGGGGCCACCGAAGGGAGAAGGGGCACCAATTTTTTTTACAGAGGACCATTCTCATGACAAAATGAGCTAAATATGTGTTCCTCATTTGTATGAGTCAGTGAGAATAATCTAATGTAAACAAGAAACAAAAATATTCTCACAGAATGAGTGAATATGACCAACTGTTAAGATTTTATTGTAAATTGACACTGTTCATAAACCGAGAATGAAGCTGAATATTCTTTAATAAATACATAGTGAGAATATTTTGGGTGGAACTAAAGAGCCACACTTTCAGAAGTATAATACTGCTTCAGCAGGTCGGTTTGTGACGGTTCAGTTGTTCAGCGCCATCTAGTGGCACAACCATTGAAATGTATTTCCTAACCACCACGAGCTCTTTTAGGACAGCAGCGTCCGTCTCATTCTTGCATCAGGGACCTTCACACCGACTCCAGGATCAACTCAACTGATCCACGGACAAAAAGGCTTCTGAGATGTTCCTCTCGTCACAGGAGAGAAGAGCACAAGTGACTTTTAAAAAGTACTTATAGAAAGCAGAGCGAGGAATAAGAATAAACAAAAAGAATCAAAGTGGAGTTGCTGGGAACAGCAGGGAAGAAAAAGTGCACGGGTGGCGTGATGGTGGGGTGAATCTGCAGACGGGAACGAGTTCTTCAGATGGAGTGTCACAGGCTCTAGCAGCACTGAAGTTTGTTGCCCTTCTGGCCGTCAGTAGTTGGTGGGACGCTGATGTCTACTACGTTGTTACCCGGAGAGTCGTCGTGCGCAGATCTGTCCGCTATCTGCTTCTGGGACACGATGCGGTAAATTTCTGGAGGAAAAAGCAAAAACACAACGTACGATTTAATTCTTGGGCCTCTAAGGTTTATAAGTGTGATGATGGAGGGCATAAATGACTTTTAAAAGCACTTTAGTTTCAACACAATAAAAATGAGCCTTTTTAAAAAAACGACATCGACGTATAACTGAACTACAATAAAATAAAAATCTGTCAACGTGCAACATGTGTCATGTTCAAACCTCAGAAGGTCTTCTGGGGAAAAAATCAGCCACACATTTATTTTTGTCTGTTTTCATGTTTTCTTTATTTAGGGGGCTGTCAGCTGACAAAGACTAAATATCCTTTTATTTTTTATTTTGTCAGAATGTGCACAGTAACATTACTAACCTCTGGGGTCCTCAGAGGGAAAATGACCATAGGAAGATCCCAACATAAATGCATTTTCTGATGCCACAATTATATCAAAAATAATGCATTCCTTTCAGGAAAGTTTTTTTTTTTAATTATTTTTATCAATTTACTTTTTTTTTTTTATTAGCTCACTCGGTGAGGCCATGTTTTTTACATTTGAGAGCCTCTGTTAAATTTACAGACTCAATTTACCACTAAAGATCTATCCCAGCTGTTGAGTTCTGCTTCTCATCTCGTCCAGTAAAAGTTTTAGTTTTGATGGACAGAGCAGAAACACACTTGCATGTTGCACAAGTAAACATCTAGTATAAAAAAGCAGCTCCACATGGAAGCAGGCTGAAGACTTGGATGCTCCACGGCTCAGAACAGCTTAGTCCCGTTGGTTTGAGTGAGATCAGGATGTAAAAAGCAGACAGCTGATAGTATGTTCTAGTTAGTAAAAGCAAAAAATGAAAAAGAAACTGGCGTGCACGAGTAAGAGTTTTGGAAAAAATAAATTAAAAACTTAGAATTAAAAAATATTTTACAACTCCATGTCAGACAACAAGTTTTACCAAAAACACAGAAACGTTTCTGTCTGATGTGCAGGGTCTTCACACAACTCCAGACTGAAAGTTTTACATTAGTATGACCTAAGGACTTGTCTAAAATTAAATAAAATACGGCATATTAACTGGGATTTTTTTCTTCAATAAATTGACATAAAAAAATATAAAATTTTTGCCATTTTATTTTATTTTTATGTGGAGGGTTTTTTTTTTTTTGGTGTTTTTTTTCTAAAAGAGTTAAAATGTTTTGTTTTTTTAATCTATTAAATTTATTATTTTTTATTTCAGGCTGAGATTGCTCTAATTTCTTGTGCATTTTTAAAAAAGGTATTTTAAGCAGTTATGTAAGGTGGTTGATTTTTTTCCAACAGCAATCGAAGTCTGTTGGAGTCAGTCTCTCCACCATCACAGACATCTACACCTCCAGATGCAGGAAGAGGACCACCTGCATCATGAAGGACCCCACTCACCCAGCACACACACTTTTTGCCCCGCTCCCCTCAGGAAGGAGGTTGAGGAGCGTTAAGTGTAGAACCATTAGACTGAGGAACAGCTTCTACCCTAAGGCTGTTAGACTCATGAATATCTAACCAGGATAATCACTGTGAAAAATCACATCATGTTGCTGCTGATCTGCTTCAATGTTGCTGCTGATCTGTTTCATGTTGCTGCTGATCTGTTTCATGTTGCTGCTGATCTGTTTCATGTTGTTGCTGATCTGTTTCATGTTGCTGTGTTCATTCGTGCTCATCTGCTCACACAGACTCATGTTCGTGCTGCTGTTCAGTGTACTGTTTTATACTATTTTATGCTACAAGTGCTTAGTGTGTTTTTATTAACATTTTTCTTAGTTCATATCTTAGATCTTATGACTGTTTTTCTTTTATATTTTATACTTTTGTTGGATGTAACTGGGACCCTGTGTACACAATTTAAAAACCTTGAATCCTTGAAGGTTGCTTTGATTTTTTTTTTGCCTAAGGTACGGTCTTTCTTTTTCAATCATTTTTTTATAATTCACTTATTTGTCCTTCTGTGGGTTAATCTTGTCTCCACTATTCCTCCAAATAGGAGGCCAACTACAGAATAGTCCTGTTGTTTAGTTATTTAATTTGTTTTTAATAACTGAGAATGGCCAGCAGCACATTATTCTAGAAAGGGCAGAGTCTTCTCACCTGTTAAAATGTTTTTGAACGCCTCTTCTACATTTGTGGAGTCCAACGCTGATGTTTCAATAAATGAGAGTGTGTTCTTTTCTGTTGCAGGAAGAGATGATGGAAATTATTTTTCATTTTGTGACAAAAAGCCAACATCATACCACAACCCTTAGTATGATTTACCTGAGAATGCTCGAGCTTCATCCGTGGGCACGGCCCTGAGGTGGCGAAGGTCGCTCTTGTTGCCCACGAGCATGATGACGATGTTATTGTCGGCGTGGTCCCTCAGCTCCTTCAGCCAGCGCTCCACGTTCTCATACGTCAGGTGCTTGGCGATGTCATAAACTAGGAGGGCCCCGACTGCACCTCGATAATACCTGGTCAGGGGAGAAAACACTACCAGTTCAGTTCCAGCACAAAATCTGAGTTTTTATCATAAACATGTAAACATTTTTAAACACTCACGCTGAGGTGATTGCTCTGTAGCGCTCTTGTCCAGCGGTGTCCCAGATCTGAGCTTTGATCGTCTTTCCGTCCACCTGGATGCTGCGGGTGGCGAACTCCACCCCAATGGTGCTCTTGCTCTCCAAGTTGAACTCATTTCTTGTGAATCGAGACAGAAGATTACTCTTCCCCACGCCGGAGTCTCCGATAAGTACAACTAGAAACACACAAAAAGTGATAATGAAATAATAAATAAAATATATATATAGTCTTCAAACTTGCTCTCCAAACAATGCCTCGTTGGTTTTTAAGCTTTCTAGTAATGAGTCTGTGACACGGCCAGGAATTCATTGCTGCTCATCAACAAACAGCAGCAACCATCAACACTGTAAATGAGTCCACAGCAGACGTGGCTGTTTTTTTCAAGGTGAAAAAGCTGCTTTTCTTCTTACTGACTGCCGTTATCTCACACTGTGTCCTGTTAGGAGGCGATCAGGAAGACGCTGCTGATAGTTTGCTTTTTGGGGAAGTCTGACTCAACAGTTTCTCGAGGCTTCTGTGTCATCCTGTTGTGCTTTAATTATGTTCTGGCCAGTGTCCAGCAGCCACTTTGGCTTTACCTGTAAAATGTTAATACTACAGTATAACAGTAATGGTATATACTACATTAATCTAAATGTTATTCCTAACTAGTAAAATCATCAAGTACTCCAATCCCCACATTCAAACACACAGGTATTTACACTTTTCACATGATAAACTACCTGGCCCTTCATAGTGACTGGTCTATAGAGAATATGACCTTTTGAAAGCACCTGTCATTAGTAACATGGGATCAAACTGTGTTAAAGGTTAGGGCCTACACCTGACACATACAGAACATGTTAACAGGAAACTGGACTTCCTGGTGTGTGATGATTGTGTAACATTTGATTTTTTTAAATCCAGTCAGTTCACTTTGGATTTGTTTCGTGGGGAAACACGGCTTCAACCATCAGAAACAAAGCAGTGAGCTTAAAGTACATGTTTGTTCTGTGGTTATAAGAAGCCTGCTCAAAAATATATGGTGTTTTTCCTTCTTTCCCTTTTCACAGGAAGTTTCCTCCTTCAAGGAATTACAAACAAAACATCTGATGAAGCATTCTCAGGAGAATACACCTCTTCTGATAGTCCAAATGTTCAATTCCTTGTTCAACAAACTTTTACCTAAACTTTAAGGTGAAGAGTGGATGTTTATGTTTTTAATGAGGAATAATCGCCCAGCCTTTAGCCATTAGCTTTCCGAACCCAGTCACCGGTTTCTGTCATATGTATCCACACAGGAAGACAAATACAGACAACAAGACGAAATAATAAAAAGTTTCGACTCGAGAGAGAAGTAAGTAAACTACAAACAGTGACTGGACGTAGCTAGCTACGGTTAGCTGCCACTGATGACTACTGACGTTGACGTAGCTAACATGCTAGCTTATCTTTAGCCATGGAGGTGAAGTATCTCTTCCACTTACCCTTGAACAAGAAATCATATTCGTCGTCTCTGTTCCCCATTGTAGAGCAGAATCAGCTCTTTGAGAATGCAGCGATGAGAGAAAGTAATTCCCCTGAACTGACCAGGATGGTGGTGCGGTGACTGCGGCGAGATGACAGCAGTCGCTGCGCAAATTGCGTAATAGTAGCGTAAAAGTGAGCTCACGTGACAGCACTACGCAGTTTCTTAAAATGTTTTACTGTAGCGTAAACCAACAGCTTACTTTGAAACTAAGGTCTGTTATTTTTCACTTTTTTTGATTTTTACATGAAATGAAATGATACTTAACAAAAGTTAGATTTAATTTTCTCATCAAAAAAGATTTTAGGCTTAACTTTACCAAACATAGCTACCGTGTCTGCTTGGCCAATTTGACACCTCATAAGATTTTACATGGCAGCTCTTTCATAATTTTCTAAATTTCACTGCCATCTAACATACATTCACTCAATAAACTAAATACCTTTGTATTTTCTATTTTCTTTTATTAAAAAAACAGATTGCCCAGCTAAACACAATAAATGATTAATTTGAAGCAGAATATCATTCATTCATTCAACCTTTATTTAGACAGGTAATCCCATTGAGCCTCGAGGACTCATTTACAAGAGACCTGATTTCAACAAAGAAAGATGACAACAATGGACAACAGCATCAACAATAAACAATTATAAAAAGTCATACAGCAGTTTTTTTTTTTTTTTTTTTTTTTTTTTTTTACAAATAGGATGGCTAAAAGAAAAAGGTAACAAAAAAACAGCTAGATTCTAAGGCGAATGTAGAAAACTAAAAACAGGAACATGTCTGCGTTGGTCCCTGCCAGGAGTCCAACAGATTTTTAAAGCCACTTAGAGAGGTCAAGGTCGAGAGCTTCAACTGTTTTTGTAAGATATTCCAGGAAACAGGAGCGGAGTAGGAGAAGGCCCTTTTTGCCTAGTTCAGTCCTCATTGAGGGAACACTGCAGGTAATGATGTCCTGAGAACGCACGCTGTAGCTGCACTCACGCAGAGACATGTAGGAGGAGATGTATGAAGGCAGCAGACCAAGAAGTGATTTAAAGATGAAAATGTACCAGTGAGAGAGTCTGCGTGAAGTTAATGATGTCCAGTTAACCAGTGAATACAGGGTGCAGTGGTGGGTACGATAATCACAGCCAGTTATGAATCTTAGTGCACCATGATAGACAGCATCCAACATCTGCAGGGTTCTTGTAGGAGCATTCATGTAAATAATGTCACCGTAATCAATGGAGGGAAGGAAAGTCACAGATACAAGGCGTTTTCTAGCATTCAGGGTTAGACAGGATCTGTTTCTGAAAAAGAAATCCAGTTTAACTTTCAGTTTCTTTACCAAGTTTTCCACATGGAGCTTAAAAGAAAGATGTGAGTTGACCAAGATACCCAAATATTTATAGGAATCAACAAACTCAATGGGGACACCATTTGAGGATAAAATCGGAGGAAGAACTGCTGGGACCAACTTCCTATTTGAAAAAAGCATCCCTTTGGTTTTGTTGGCATTTAGGACAAGTTTGAGGTGGAACAAATCTGGCTGGATGTAGTTGAATGCAGATTTCAAAAGCTGGAAAGCCTTAGCAACAGTTTTAGCTCGACAATAAACAACTGTGTCATCAGCATAGAAATGTATGGATGCATTAGGGATGTTTTTACCTACATTATGTATGTAGATTGTAAAGAGGGTGGGTCCTAAGACTGAGCCTTGTGGTACACCATTGTTGACTGTTAAATAACTGGAGGAAGTACCATTATGTTGAACACATTACCTCCGGTCTGAAAGATAGTTAGAGAACCAACCAATGGTGTGTTCTGAGAAACCGATTTCTGAGAGTTTATGACACAAGATGTTCTGATCCACAGTGTCAAAAGCTTTAGACAGGTCTAAGAAAAGTGCAGCACAGTAATCCTGAGCATCCAGTGCTTCAACAACATCATTAAGAACCTTCAGTGAAGCAGTGGTTGTACTGTGTTGTTTCCTGAACCAGATTGATGTGGAGGTAAGATGTTAAATGAGTCCAGGTAATTTTTGATTTGAGAGTTTATCAGTTTTTCTAGAACCTTGGCTAAAATGCAGAGTTTAGAGATTGGTCGATAGTTGTTCAATGAGGTGGGGTCTCCTCCCTTCAGCAAAGGAAGAACAAAGGCTGTTTTCCAAGTGTCTGGGATGGAGTTTTGTCTTATGGAGAGATTGAAGATGTGGGTCACAGGGACTGTGATGATATGAGCAGCCAGCCTTAAGAAATAAGGTGGAAGTTCATCTGGACCTGCAGATTTTTAGGGTCAAGATCTTTTAACAGTTTATTGACCTCACTGACTGAGAATGGAGAAAAAGAGAAGCTGTGATTAACTGAGGATTGACTTGTAGGAGGGATTTGATTAGTAGAAGTTTGATTATTAAGTGAAGTGGCTGATTTTCCATTAGTTACTCTGTCAAATAAAGAACTAGAAGCAACAAAATGTTTGTTGAAACAGTTCAGGATCTCGTGCTTATTTGACACAGGAACAGAGTTAACGAGAAGTTGTGATGGGAGGTCAGATGATTGGGGGCTGCCTGAGAGAGATTTGATGGTTTTCCAGAATCTGTTAGGGTCATTTAGATTTTTGGAGGTCTGAGATAAGAAATAGTTGCGTTTTGCTGCTTTGACAACAGTTGTACATTTATTCCTCATCTGTCGAAAACTCAACCAATCAGTGTCTGAGTCAGATTTTCTCGCTGTGGCCCAAAGATGATCTCTCCTGTGCAGGAGGTCAGCTAGCTCTGGAGTAAACCAGGGGCTGTCTCGTCCTTTTATTCTGAACTGAGGAAAAGGAGCATGTTTGTTCAGGAAATAAATGAAACTATTATGAAAATAGTTCCAAGCGGAGTTTCAAATAGTTTCGAATAGTTTCAAACGCCTAAGAAAGAAAAACAGGATTGTGTCATGAGTTATTCTATAAGTGCTATTCTAAAAATATTAACCTTGACCTAGATTGGTCATCCCTTGAACATTTAAATTTTTAAGTTGTAGCAATTTTTGTGTTTTCATTGTATCTTAAGTTGGACTGACCCAAAAAGTTAGTTACTATATTGTTATTACGTTCTGAAAGTTTAATTAAAATCTATCAAGTGGTTGGAGAGATCTGGCTATGATATCTTGTGAACCACCGAACAGATTTTAATGAAACTCCCAGGAAGTGATCGTGACAGATTTAAACTGATCAACTTTTTGGAGGTAACTTGATTCAAGATGGCTGCTATAGCCATCTGATCTTAGAAAACAACAACAAAAATTGACTATAACTCATTTTTTTATTAACTGAGCTCAAATTTGTTGCATGAGTTTCTGTTATAGGCTACTCTGAGCACTAACAGAGGGCTATATATGCTGAAAAGTTTGCCATTAACTGTTGGAACCCTGTCTGTCTGTTAGCAAAATATCTCACAGCCCGCTGGACAGATTTTGATAAGACTTTACAAATATTGGATGTTCATCTACAACTGATTGTTTTAAAGGTTTGAAGGCAACCTAATAAAAGATGGCCTCGGCTTATCAACACAAAAAAGGTTTTATACTCAGTGTTACAGATATTAGACTATAGTGCTAACAAACTTAAAACATAAAGGTTTATGATTTTTATTGAAACAGCTTTAACAGAACTTTTACCTTACTCATGTAATAAGAAGTTGAGGAAAGTTAAAGCATAAAAAAATAAAGTTTGGGATAAATAACACATGAATTTACATTGAACAATGGGAAAAGTTCTCTTTTGCCACATAAAATGGCACAATTTCTATATATCTTTTAAAAATGCTGTTATTGAAATGTTTGTACCTTTAGCAAATGTTATTTGATGAACAGTTCAGAATATAATTACATTCAGTGTCTATTTTTAAATAAATAACTAATAAACTTTCAGCCACCACAAATGTGTTTATTACAGCAATTTATGTAATTGCATTTTTACATTTTGCAGGTGAAAAAAGTATTCAGCTGGTTTAATTTTGGAATATAGGTTAAAACATGTACTTGAAGCTGACGAAAATGCCTTTTTGCACCTTCAGGTTTTCAGGTTTGTATAATTCTACTTTATTCACATCACTTTTTACTGCAGCACATTCTGTATTTCAGCAAAGCTGATTACAAACCCACATCTTAATATAAAAAGGTTTCATTTAAATGTTGACAGAAAACAAATCACAGCTCTAATTTGAGCTTGCGTGTATACATACAGTATGCAAAGTGCATCTTTAACCTATAAAACTTTAAACCTACTTTTCTTGAAGTATAAAACAGTCACCCATGAAATGACTTCCAGTCAATTCCTGCTCGACAACATTCATGTCAGCCTCGGCAGTTCAACCAACAACCTGCTGGCTGCTGATGTAAAAAGCTCGTTTTTCCTGCTCTTTCCTCTATAAACTCAACTGGTTTCTGTGGGTTTGTCACGAACACCTTTCGACCTGCCTACGTCACACCTGGGAATAATTATAAAAGAGCCCGCCCCTTTTCCGCCTCTTGACCAATCAGGAGCGAGACTGCTCCTCGCTTTAATGTGGAGCGCCGCTCGGGACAACAAGAGAAACAAACGAGTGGTTTCATTCACGTTTTGTCTGAGGTGCTGAAGGTTTCTGATGATGGCGAAGCGAACAGGACGAAAGAAGAGCCAGCTGCCTGACTGCTACTATGAGGGTTACCTGGAGAAGAAGTCCCTGAAAGACCAGGTAGTGGTTTTAATTTAAATAGTTTCATTTTAAAATGAGTGCACCTGCTCTGGCTTCAGTGTTTGAAGGGTGGATTTTTGATTTAGAGCACTGTGGTTTCATCAGATGATTAAATGAAGGCAAAATCTAACTAATGAGAAGTCAGAGCTCTTTAATAAATAAATAATCCGTCCATTAGTTTATGGATAAGACATTAAGCTGAACATGTTTGGGAGCAAACAAAAATATAATTTGATCTTTTTTTTTTAATGAGCGTAAAGAACACAGACAAAGCTTTTAATATTGGTATTTGGTCATTTAAATATCAGAATTTATGCAACATCATGTTTTGTTGCTGTGTGAAAGTCTTGAGTCATCCCTCGTGTCTTTATATTTAGCTTCCACTCAGCCTGACTCTTTAGTTGTGACCACTCAAGTCCTTCATCCATTCATTTACCCACTTCTTCCTTTTTGGGGTCAGGGGGGGTCACAGAGTGCGAGGTGGTGGGGACACCCTGGACAGGTCTCCAGTCCATCACAGGGACACATGGAGACAAATGAGACAACCGTTCACTCTCTCACTCGCACCTAGAGACAATTTACCAATCAGCCTAACATGTTTTGGGTCTGTGGGAGGAAACTGGAGAACTTCGGACTTTCTGAAAGTCTTTCAGATGATGTTCTTTGGACATTTGTTGCTTCCATAAACTTTCAGTCCACTACTTGACCATTTTCAGAGGAATGTCGTTTCTATGATTCATTTAGGCGTAAAATAAATCTCCTATAGAAACTGACCCTGTAGTTACCCTCCAGAAAGTTGGCTTTGATCAAGACATTTAAAAAGATCCAATGCTTGGGAGCTAAATATAAAGAAAATCAAAGCTATGGCTCTTCTGCTCTTTTGTGTCGTAAACATTTTAAGTAAACTGTGAGTAGAGGGAAGAACTGGCACCACAACCTTTGGAAACTATAAATCCTGAGGGTAATTCCAAGGCCAAGCCCTCACTGATTAAAAAAAAAAAAATCTACACACTGATGTGTAAACAACTTTCCGAATATCTCTGAGGTGTCACTGAAGAGAAATGGTGACATAACCTCATCTAAAAAAAAATCTATGTCACAAGATGCAACATAATTTAATCCTGTGACATGATTTGTTTGGATTAGGTCCAGCTGCGTTTCTTTTTTTAGCACATGCACGTTCCACACATTCCATTGTTCCAGTCACTTGACTCACCAGGAAGAGCGTCTCCAGTTGTATTTGTTGTTGACCCTGTTTCTTGTGCTGTCTTTTGTGTTTGTGCAGACATCTCAGAAACTGTGGACCTGTTTGTGTGGAAGCACGCTGTTCTTCTTCCACGAGAAAAGAGACATTGATGTGAGTGGGGGGGGGGGGGGGGGGGTTGTTTTCACTGATGTGGGTCAGTATGGCTGGGTGGGTTTCTAACTGTGTGTTGTTTTCAGTATGTGGACAAAGTGGACCTCACAGCGCTGGTCTCCGTTGAAGACGACGACGGCTCAGACTCCACAGTGGATTCAGCCAGATTCACCATTCAGCTGCAGAGTGGAAGCATCAAATTCACTGTGAGCAAAAGAACTTCTTCACTTATTCAGTCAGTTCAAAAAAAGTTCAAGACAAAAACAACTGGACTATCAGAAGATATTCTATATTTGTATCAGAAGACGTTTCGCCAAAGTTCATGCACAGTAATCCAGGTATAAATCCAACAATGTTCAGTCGGGTCATCTGGACGGTTTCTTTTGTTGCTGAGAGGTTTCATCCTTCATCTGAAGGACTTCTTCAGTCTGAGGAGCCACCAAACAAACTGAATCCCACAAACGGCACACCTCCAGAGTGGGGGAAAAAGACGGCAACAAAAGAAACCATCCAGATGACCTGACGGAACATTGTTGGGTTTATACCTGGATTATTGAGCATGAACTTTGGTGTTTTGAACCACTTTGGCCGTGGTCTGCCTTGGAGGAGTTGACGGGACAGAGGGTGGGCCCTGGAAGCCATCTTATCACCAGCCAACTGTTTTGTTTTTTCCACTCTGGAGGTGAGCTGTTTGTAGGATTCAGTTTGGTTGGTGGGCTCCTCAGACTGAAGAAGTCCTTCGGATGAAGGATGAAATGTCTCGGCAACAAAAGGAACCATCCAGATGACCCGAAAGACGTTTCACTTCTCATCCGAGGAGCTTTCTCGAGTCAAAGAACAGAGAGTGGGGTTTGAGTTATAAAGCTGAGGTAAGCTAGATACATATGCAGATTGCCCCATCACTCCTCACAATAGGGGTTTGTTAAGGTCTTTGTTAGTCTGACTCACAGACGGGCCACTCTGGTCACATGGATGAAATTCCTGATGGGAGTGAACCTGAGTATCATCGGGTCTAAAGCTGCATTATACGTTTTTGAAAGTTGAAATCTGAGACCACATGTAACTCGAGCCCCACACTCTGTTCTTTGAACTGAGAAAGCTCCTCGGATGACAAGAGAAACACCTTCCATTAAAGTCCACTTGTTTTTGTCTTGAACTTCTGCATATTCAGTCGGTCAGTATTTTATTTTTTTTATTTCCCACACTGAAGATTTGCAACAAAAACTTACTACAACTCAGTTTTATAGATACTGGGCTACAGTTTGCTGTGGTAGTAGCTGAGTATCATCCACAAAACTCACTCGGAGTACTACACATTGTGATATATGTTTAAAACTTTAGCAATAACTGTTATTCAACGCTGTCTGTTAGCAAAATATCTCATGAACTACTGGGCGTACATTAATGAAACTCTTAGAATCTGATCACTGGATGTACCTCTACCATGTTTGACTTTTGGAGTCAGCCCAATTCAAGATGGCTGCCACAGCTAGGAAACATTAGCAAACACACAAATGGCAATAACTTAGACAATTTTACATATATTGGGCTAAAATTTGTTGTGTTGGTAGCTGAGAGTTAACCTCAACACATACTTTAAGCTCTAACAGATGTTGTTTTAACATCATTTACAAAGTTTGACCAAATGTCCAGAACTCATCGTAATATGATCTCTTATTTTGAAATTCTGACATTCTAGGCCTTTAATTTCATGTTTCTTCTGGTGGTTTTGCAGGCTCCAAGTTCAGAATGCCGGGAGCTTTGGAAAGGATTTATCCACGCTGTGGGTCAGGTGTGTGCTCTGGTTTTTTAAAAAAAAATTTTATCACTTCCAAGTTCATAAAATTGTTCTAATCATTGTGATGGATTAATGTCGGAGGTAAGGTTTAGGTTTGTTGTTTGTTTCCCTGCAGCTGTCGGTGCCCTCCTCCCTCAACCTGCTCCCAGGTCAGATTCACATGATGGGAGACGCAGTCCAGAAGGAGAAAGAGAGGCGGGCAAACATTCATTATTCACCTGCTGTCCACAGTCCTCCTGCCAGCACCCAGTCCGACATGCCTGCGTCAGTATCACTCACACAAAACACTACTTTTAATAAGATACAAATGAGTTTATATTTGTATCATTTCAAGGATCTGTAGAGGAGAACAAGAGTGATGGAACTGTTTCTCCTGCTGTTTTTGCTTCAGCTGTTTCTTCGAGGTGCCTCGGCTAGAGGCAGAGCTGCTGCTCGAGAGAGAAGCCAGCAAAGGAAACCTGCTGGTGAGGCCCAGGAGGAGTCAGAACTCCTACGCCATCAGCACAAGGATGGAGATTTCTGGGTACTTGTACATGCATTAACTATCAGAAATGTGTGTTTTTTTTTATTTTAAATGTGTATATAAAGGGCTAACATGCATTTCTGTAGTTGTCATTGTTGATTTCGACACGTTTGTCTTCAACCATCAGCCAGACACTGATCTTGGTTCTGTCTGTTTCAGAGCTGTGTTCAAGCATTACCGCGTGCTGTGTAAAGAAAGTGGGGGTTTCTATATTGATGTGGAAAATCCTGTGAGTATAATTCAATTCAGTTTATTTATATAGCGCCAAATCGCAACAAAGTTGTCTCGGGGCACTTTACAGGAACATTCACATACATAAAGGCCAATTAGTAAAGTTCTCTATCTAAGGATATAATAATAATGAGGATGTAGTATAAATCAAACTTTACAAGGAAGCTTTTATTTTGTGCTCCATTCCTAAGACTCGTGTGACTCGCTGTCATTCACAACACATGCACGGCACATACTGTACAAGGTTCGACCAAAACGGCTCCTTTTATCCACGAAAGACTATTTTAGTCTAAAACTCGGATCAAAAGGCCACAAGCAATAAGCATATTGTTTAAAGGAATATTAATTTTGTTTTTATTAAAGTCATTTGATATGATTAGATAAGATGACAAGATTATGAAGCGTCCTTTACTGTTCCGAAACTTTATCAGCAATGAAACCTTGAAAAACCAGTTGCACAAGATGACTGGAGCTTGTGACGACAAGGAAGGAGCCTGAACCCATGACCTTCTGGGAAGATGAAAAAAAATAATAATAATCTGATTACCAGTAAACGCTGAGGTGGGGTTAAAATGTACTTTGAAAATATGTAACTTGTAATAAAAGGCCTGTAAAAGTCCCACTGTATCTGAGACTTCATGCAGCTTGTGGTAAAGTGCAGAAGCGTTTCCTCAACGCCACTTTTGACTGTGAACAAGAACTGTGTGAATGTTCATGAAGCATGCACACTATGGGCTCCATTTTTCTTCTGTACATTTTTCCGCGCGTTTCTTGTCCTGCAATTTTCAAACCATTTAAATCGTCAAAACGTTCAGCTCTTTCAGAACATTCCTGCTATGACTTTTTGTATTGGTGCAACTTTAGCTTTTTGAAATATTTAACCTTTTCTGCCACTTTTTTTCCCCCTTTCATAAAAAATTAGCTAATTTTACGTCCTTCAAATCTTTAGATCTGTTTACAACCTTTTACGTTCTGCTTCAGCTTCTTTGTGCAAATTTAAACTGTTTTCAACTACTTTCAGCTGTTTCTTCAGCTGTTTTGTGCTTCTTTCACATTCTACTAACTACATTTTTGTGTTCTAACTTCTTTCTGCTAATTTCAGCTTGTTATGCTCCTTTCAGCTTATTTATGCAAGTTTCCACTTTTTCTGTTATTCCAGCTACTAATTAGCTGTTATGCTAATTTTAGCCTTTTCAGCTAATTCCACATTTTTTGCACTCATTTAATTAGCTGAAATTAGCTAAACTTTATTTTTATTTTTTTGGTCCATTTCAGTAAAAATGTGCTCTCTCCACTTCTGGTAATTTAAGCTTCTTTCTGCTTTTTTTTTTTTTTTTTTTAAGCTACTATTTAATGGTGTTTAATTTCAGCTTTTTTCAGATAATTTTCAGTTTTTGGTGCTCACTTCTGCTTCTTTCATCATAATTGGGAAAATGTATTCTTTCGGCTTATTTATGTTTGTTCTAGCTTTTCAGCTACTTTTTTTTTTTTTTCTTTTCTTTAGCTAATTTCATCTGTTTTTCAGCAAGTTCTTCTGCACAATAAGCTTTCTCATTGCATTTTCACAGGAAATGCAATTTTTCTAGATGATCTTAAATTTCAAACAATGGTTGACAGGCCTCCAATACACCGATTTTCTCCGTACAAGTCCCAAGTTTTTTTTGTATTAAAGAAGTCCTTATGTGCAGGTTTTTGGCGATACGCTGCAGGATGTGGTGGACTACTTGGTGGAGAAAACCAACGGCTCCTTGACCCCCCTCATCATTGAGGAACAGTACGACAAAAAACTCTGTACGTCAACAGCTGAAGCACTTCAGCTTCTTGCACTCGAAGCATAAACTGTCTTTAACATTGCTCATACGACTAATGGATATTTTTTTCTACTCAACAGCTTTTATTGTAGCTGATGATGAAAGTGGAGAGAAGACTCAACAGCCTTTACCAAACTTTATCCCAAGAGCTGCACCTCGCAAACACGGTAACTTTACTGATGCACTCTCACATGACCAATCACAACATTTTACTCTTTTGGCACCGATTAGGAAATTTTCTTCTACACTCTCACGCATTTGAATCCTGGCAGCAGCAGCTTGGGAAGAATGTACCGGTAGTCAATTTTGACATATATTAACCATCTAACGATAATCACAGCAGGCAGAAAAATAAAAATATACATTTTAAATTGGTCCCATCTAAAACTGAAATGCAGCACATTTAGGTTTAGTTTTCCTACGTGTGCTTTGACTCGAGGTGTAGTGTAGACCCAAGGTTGTCAGACCTTGATGAACCTTTTTCTGTGACGACAAACCACCCAAATAGTTTAAGAGGTGAGAGCAACCTTCTGTTTTGTGCAACATGTCAACTATGTTGCCATTACACGCTTGCCTGTCATCATGACCTCAGTCACACAAAGAACAGATGAAACTGACTGGTTGAAAGTATTTGATCACTGACCTACTACCCAATCTAAACTCTGAAGATATCCCTAAAGAGAATTAATAAAATTATGAAATTTGCAGCATATGTGACTTTTTCATGGATAAGTAGGTCAGAATGAAGTGAAAAGGTTTTTTTTTTTTTTTTCTCTCCCAACAATTGAGATTTCTGTGGAAATAAATTCTTAAGAACACAATCTCACAATCCCACTAACTAAAATTATATTAATGCTTCCTATTATACAGTTTAAATATGTTTTCTAACAGATATGTCTTCAGAAAAATTTGTTTGCCTTATAACACTCGTTTCCTTTTCAAATTGACTTTTTTTTTTTTCATGCCAGCAGCCACAGTGTGAGGAAATCAAAGCATGGTGTCAATATGAGATTGAAGTATTCCTTTTTTATTTTATTTAAACGTAGGACGGATTATCTCAAATCCTCCTAAAACGATAAAAATCTAGTTTTCTAACCGGCACTCTTGTAAACAAAACTAGCTTGAGGCTAACCAGGTGAAAAATGGAGAATTTAAAAATAACCAGCTTCTTAAAAAAATAATCATCGACTCCCTTTGTTGGCACAGGGTACAAATAAGAAAACTAAAAGTAGCTGATTTAAAAACACACTATATTTTAATACCTACTTTTTTGGTTGGAAATTTTCCAATTCATGTAAGCATTTTTCCTTTTAGTTTTTATTCTTATTACCTCTACACAATGAAATTCTGTTTTGGTTTTATTTGTTCTTTTATCAAAACTCATTTTAGTAAAGTTGAGCCTTTTTGCACACCACTCACTGTGAAGTTAAACTGGATTGTGAAAGCAACTGATTCATCCTCTGGGGACCATAAAAATATTTACCAGTTTATTAAATCAACTTAGCAGTTCTGAAGGTATATTATTCTCGACCCGAGTCCAGAGAACATCACAAATGTCACTGAATAGCATAAATCGATGGTTCCAAACACTAGTCCTTGAGGAACACCATCCTGCATGTTTTAGTTTTGCTGCTCCAACACACCTGATTCAGTGATTTAAGTACTTCCTTGTGTTTTGCAGAAGCCTGTTAATCACCCATTAATTAAAACCAGGTGTGTCAGAGCAGAAACTACTAAAACATGCAGGATGGTGTTCCTCAAGGACCACTGTTGGGAACCCCAATAATGTTGACTTACAGGGAGATGTTTTTTTTTTTTTTTTTTTTTTTTTAAAAATCTTGCTCTGTTGACATCGGCCAACTTCTGAGCGATCCACTTTAGGAGTTAACCTTGTCCTCTTTTACGAGCCCAACAATAATCTTAAACATGCATTTAAATTAAAAAATATATTTCTGTCTTTTTAGTTGAGGAAAGATCGACGTCTGAAGTCAAACCAGCTGGAGCGGAATATTTCTCTTTCACTGACCACGGTGAGTAAACTTCACACCGGCACCTTTCAGTCGATCAGTAATTTCACCCGATCTGCACAGAAACCGGTGTGTCTGCATAGTTTCTGAATGCAGACAGCATGCGTGTGAGTGCAGAGATGTTTCTGCTGTTTTGATTGTCATGTAGGTTCCTCTGACCTTCAACTGGGATTTTTTTCGTTCATACCTGAAGTGCTCAGAATTTTAACCTTGTTTGTTTCAGCAACTCCAGCTCCAAAGAAAGTGCTGATGCCTCCATCTCCGGCTCCACGAAAAGGTAGCGTCGCCTCCTCCACCAACGTCCACGGAGACTCCAGGAAGTCGAGCAGCGCGGAGGAACACAAGAAGAGTAAGTTCACATAGACTTAGAAAATAATTCCTTTTTTGAAGAGGAATTTGTAATTTGAACCCTCCATCTTCTGATTTGTAGCAGTTCTTTCTCCTGCTATATCCGAGCTGAAACTGAGGTTGGGACAGAAGTTAAAAATTTACGATGTATGAACACATCGGAGCAGCTGAGCGACGGGACGAGGCCACGGGTACACCGAGCCCAGAACACCACCTCCTCCTCGATTAACTGTCTCATCAACGTCTCTGAAGATGAACACTTTATTGATTCGCCTCGCTTCAACATCGTTAACAAATGAAACGGCTGTAAATGTCTCGTTTTCTCTCGCATGTTTTGCACATTCACTGAGCTCATTGCTCAAAATGTTCAGTGTTTTTCTTGTCTCGAGTATATTTGACATTTTCACTGCTGTTATTAAAGTATGTGATGTTTTTAGACGCTACAAACTGTATTACGTCCTGTGTACGTTGTTAGAGCTGGACTTTATTTACCACGTGAATGTAATACACAAGTACCGTAAACCTGTTATTTTGAAACAGATTTGACAAAAACAACTTCTAGTATGTGCTATGATCAAGTTGTATATTTTTATTTATTGCCTGTATTTTTTTTACTAAAATTCTATTCTTTCATTACATCTTGTTTTTAAAGCTTTGACAATTGTTTTTATCTTTGAAAAACACTCCAAACAATAAAGTGTTTCACTCCTTTTATTACCTCCAATTACTGATACATTACTGTGGAAAACTGTCGTCATGTGAAATAAAGTGAAAATGGATCGGAGCTGGATGTTTCTTTAAAGCATTTACTGTTTAAACATGATAGAATACTGACATTAAAGAAAACATGATATGGACGATACTTTGATGAGCACAAATAGACTGCAGGATAGATTTCCAGAGTTAATCATTTACTGACAGTCCCATACTACAGCTTGTTGGCTGGAGCCAAGGGCTATCTAACAGGTGAAATGTCTTCAGCCAAAACCTACATCTCTCAGGACGATCCCTCAACTAAAAAAAATACTAAGAGTTTAAAGCAAGCAGGAACTTATTCAGAAAACACTGGCTTTGATTAAAATCTACCGAAGCTCCAAGACTCTCTGAAAAAATCTGGGTTGATGCAAAGTAAAAATCAGCAAATGCTGAGTTTGCATGACAATTTCTTTTTATCTATTAATTTCTGCCAAGTGTTAAATAGGTGTCTGTTACATTATCGGGGAATATTTTTTGGCTTAACTAGTTGAGACTAACTTAAACGTACACAGGTTAAACTGGAATAAGGTTGTTGCAGTAATTGTGTGATCAGATTCAATCTGAACATGAGGAAGAAGGCACAGGGACAGAGCGGACAGCTGCAGGACTAATCAGCAACAGTTTAGCTGAAGGTGAGGAAGCAGCGGCCAGCGCTAAATCATGACTAGCAGCAGACGGACAGATGAATGAATATACAGCAAGAAAAAAAAAAACTAAAGACAACACAAAGTCCCAAACATCACAGCAGCCAGTCTCTTGCTCCCTAAATGACCATTTACCATCATGCAACACAAACTATTGCACTGTAGTGAGGCATCTCTTGGACAAGTTAAACCACAGTCTGTGAGGAGGATATGACTCGTGGTGACTGAGACAGTGGGGGGATGAGGTCCACCTGTGTGGGTAGATGAATACATGTGGATTAGGTGAGGCTGGCATTGGAACTGCTGGTGCCACTGTTCTTCCTCTGGCCACTTTGCACCACGCTGGGAACCTGCAGGCCCGTCACCACTGAGAAACTTCCGTTCCACACCTGCAAGGAGAGCACATCAAGTCAACTTTATTTATAGAGCACATTTAAAACAGAACCTGCTATCAAAGTGCTTAACAACAACAACAATCAATGGGAGTAATATTAATGAAAAAAAATGCAATACACTAATAATAACTGAAGAATTAATAAAAAGCATTTAAAACACAGGATCACAGAACAAAAAACACTAAATCAATTTACACTGTGTGAAATGCCTGAGAGAACAGATGTGTTTTTAGCAGGGATTTGAAGTGAGGAAGGGAGGTGGCCTGCCTGATGTTGGGGGGCAGGTTGTTCCAGAGTTTGGGGCCCATGATTGAAAAAGCCCGATCTCCTCTGAGCTTCAGTCTTGTTTTTGGAACAGCCAAAAGCAGCTGATCGGATGATCTCAGGGCCTGAGATGGAACGTAAGGTTCCAGTAGCTCAGAGAGGTAAAGGGGTGTGAAGCCATTTAGACATTTGAAGGTCAACAGAAGAATTTTAACGACTATCCTAGTTATATATGGCTGAAGAGAGTCCAGGTTGACAGGATCGGTGGTGGCAGTTGAGCTAGGGCTAAAGACAATGACTTCAGTCTTCTCATTGTTAAAACTTAAGAAATGTGAAGCCATCCAGGCCTTAATGTCGTCCAGACATTTTAACAGCGGGTGAATGGAGCAAACACTTGCTGGTTTCACAGGCAGGTAGATCTGACAGTCATCAGCATAGCAATGGAATGAAAGACCGTGTTTCCTCAGGATGGACCCCAGTGGGAGCAAATAAAGTGAGAACAGATGGGGTCCAAGAATCGAACCCTGTGGGACCCCGCAAGAAAGAGGTAATGAGGCGGATACATTATTACCAACCTTGACACAGAAGCTCCTGCCACTCAGCTGTTTCAGTGCTGTGGAGTTGTTTAAAACCAGACTGAAAAATCTCGAAGATTCTGTTCTCATTCAAAAACTTAGTTTTCATTCAATTTAATTGAATGAAAACTATTTTCTCTAAGATTTTGGACAGGAAGGGAAGTTTCGAGATTGGTCTGAAATTTGAGCAAGTCGAAGGGTCAAGTCCAGGTTTCTTAATTAACGGATGAACTACTGCATGTTTGAAACCATCAGGGACCACACTTGTCACAGTACTATTTACAATAGTAAGAACAGAGGGTCCAATCGTGGGTAGAACTTGTTTAAAAAACGACGCAGGAATGGGGTCAGCGGGGGAACCGGAGGGTTTCATCTGACCAACGACTTTGTTTAGAAATGGGAGTGAAATGGGTTCAAACTGTTTGAAGACAGCTGAGCAAGGGACAAAGACAAAGACAGATCAACAAACTGTTTCCAAACCTAAAAAAAGAGAATGAAAAATATTTCTCACCATAAAAGCTGGGATGACAGGCTGTTGAAACTTTGTCCTGAACGTGTGCATCAGCTGCTTTGATTTGGTGGTGTAAAACGACAGCACACCTACAGACAGGAAATGAGAAATTATATTATAAATGGTATAAAAATGTTTTCTATAATAAGCCAATAAAGTGTTGCACTGAGATTTGACTTGTGTCTTGTACAAATCGATGTCCGTCTCACCTTCCTCATAGTTGACGTAAACTCCTACGCTGCTCGGGATGGGACAGTCGAGGGTTCGGGCCTTGTTGTTGTGCTTGGCTGTGAGGCTCTGCTGCAGCCAGTTGTTCAGATGGATGCACCAGGAAGCGCTGCTCTTCCCCAGCTGGTCGAAACGGCCAAGGCTTCGCAGAGCAACGCCTACAGCGAACGCCTTGCTCTCCTTATCAAACTTCACCTCCCAGTAGTGCTGGCCAGCATCAATGAACGTGTCAGCTGTCATAAGACATTATGTTAAAAATACTGTAGTAAAAAATGCTAACTAAAACTGCCTGTTTGTGTACATGCCTTAGATCAGATGTTTTCATACGTGGGCCAAAACTATCCAAATGAAAGGACTCGTGGGTCATAAAAAATGTGAATTTAAGTCAATGTGTCCAATATTTTTGAGAATGGACAAAAGTTTACTAATTTTGGTGGAGAAATAGTTTTAAATTGTTGTATATCCCAAACATTAAAAGTCTCAAACACTAAGCTTATATTTTTTATTAAAAAGGATTTAATTTATTTGATTTGTTGGGTTTGTGTTTGTTGTTTTATTGTGTTTGGAAAGTTTATTTTAGTCTGTTCTCAGCTACAAAATCATGAGTAGGTGTCTTTTTAAAAAGGGGGTCGATCAGCCTTTTGTACCATGGACGACCCAAAAGGCTGATCCAAGTTCTGAAAAATTGTCCAGCTGTCAGTCACTACAACAGATTCACAGAAGGTTTGATAAAGTTGTTCAATTCGTACATAGATGATACCACTTTATATTCATTTAAAAATGTTCAGGTTCCCTCTTGATTATTTTATCAACTGTAATATTTAGTCAAGTTTTATGAATCATTATCTAAAAGTCTACATTCTGGTAGAAATCAAAAGGTTTTTGGTGCTTTGTACCATGAAGTGAAAATAAAAAGATTATAGCCAAAGCTTTGTACTTTGCTTAATCTGTTAAACATAAACATTATATAAAAAAAAGGATTAACAAATAATTTGCAGAAAGTCTGCATCGACCTCTTAAGCCTGCTGACCAAAATGATACCATTCTTAAACTGCAGTCGTGGACCGCACAGAATCACTCCAAGGGCCGCAAATGGCACGCAGGCCTCACATTGGACACCCATGCCTTAGGTCATTTTAGTAAATTAGGACACAGGTCAACCAACAAAGCTACAGCAGACCAGCTACGCTGCAAACAGAAAACTATATTGATGTTAACGGTCTGTAAGGCTTTGTTGTTTCAAAACCTTTATTTATGAAGCAAATTAACATAATTATAATCTAATCTCTATTCAAAATGTAATTAACAGATGGAGTCCACTGCTGTCATCACCTGTTTATTAGTGAAATATTCTTCTGAAGTTTAAAGTCTGCTGTTTTCTGTTACCATAAAATATTTGTGAGCAGACGTGACGTGCAAGAATGAACCCAGGTCAGGGAGCATATCTGTTTATCTGCAGACACGGTGCTCTCGTCACGCAAAGAAACAATGCTGTTACACCTGTGAGCCGGTGAGTGAGGGAGTCACAGGGGAGTCCACTCCGAACACGCCGTCTTTCACTGGTTCTGTAATATTGGCTTTGGCACTGAGAGAGTTACCAGCTTAATTTATGTATTTGTGAAAGAGATATTAGCAGCTATAGCACAGAGATCTTTATAGATCTAGATTAGGCAGAACTATTGCATTGGTTTATTATCTGGGTGTCCAAATACATCTTTAAAACGTCTTCAGTTGATCCAAAATGCTGCTGCCAGAGTCTTAACTGGAGTTAGTGGGAGAGATCATATCTCTCCAGTTTTAGCTTCTCTCCATTGGCTCCCTGTCAAGTCCAAAACTGAATTCAAAATCTTACTTCTAACCTACAAAGCCCTCAACAACCTAGTTCCATCTTATATTACAGATCTTATTGTTCCATATTTTCCTAACAGAGCACTTCACGCTCAGACTGCAGGTTTATTTGCAGTTCCTAGAGTTGCCAAAAGCAGAATAGGAGGAAGATCTTTCATTTATCAGGCTCCTCTCTTGTGGAACCAACTTCCAGTTTCTGTCTGTGAGACTGACACATTGTCCAGTTTTAAGACTGGGATTAAAACTTTCCTTTTTGATAAATCCTATAGTTAGGGTTGGCTTGGTTTTGTGACCTAGCCCTTAGTTACGTTGCTATAGGGTTAGACTGCTGGAGGACAAACTGACCCAGTGACGTGCGGTGAGCTTTGTGACAGGTGAGGCACTGACTGCCTGGAATCGGATGCTCGCATATATGAGCTCAAAGAAGAAGCTTATATTTCAATATAAATTGTTTTAAAGTTATTAGAAAATGTTTGACACTTTGTTGTGCAGAGATGTTCTTCAACTCAATGATTATTTCACATTTGTCTTCTGGAGCTACTGTCTGGTCACAGACTCACCAAACTACACTTAAACCATTGAAAAGTCTCTACAAATCGGGCTTTGAAGGTTTTATACCAAAAGACAATCAGATTTCATCGCTGTAATATTTTAGCTAAGTTAGGTATTCTAGAATTTTCCAATTTTATAAATTACATTTTTTTTATAATTGATCTTCAGATGCTTAAATGGACTTGCACCCAGACCATTAAACAATTAAACGGACACTGCAGGGCTGCAGCAGATCTACCAGAGCAGCTTTAAATGGCGACTGTAAGGTTCCTTTTCGTAGAAGCACTTTTGCTCAAAGTGCTCTCTCTGTGAGAGGATCCACAATTTGGACGTCACTCCCTGTCAGTTTAAATTCTTTAACCATATGTTTAAAAAACAAACTAAACCATGGCTGAGTCAAAAACAGCATTGCATTCATGCTTAATGTAGTTTATTATGTTTAAATGCATTTGCTTTATGTGTATGACTCATCTAGTTTAGAAAAATCCTTTAGTTTTGAGATATGATCTTCCATTTTGTCTAAACAAATTTAAACGAGTGGAGCGTTTGCTTCACACCTGCTGCACCTCTTTGCAACAAGCACGCACAGAGACTGCAGCACTTGCTTCATTGTCCCTATGGGACAGCAAGGTATGTTCTGCCGCACCTCTCGTGTTTTTCAGCGTGCATTATGACCGATTAGAAAGAAGAAGTATGTCTCACACATTCGTTCAATATATTAGACAGACTGTAGAACATCAACATGTGTAGCACATGTGTAATCAAATATGAATAATGGTGATATAAAGAGAGACAGCAATGGGCATGCACCAACCACCTACTACATATGTTGTATATGACACAGCGCCCCCAGAGGTGAACCAGAGCACTGCACTGACTCACCCCGCATTGTTTGAACAGGTAATGTGTCAAGTTCGCAATTCTGACCACTGAAGTGTTGAAATATTTCAGAAAACAGTTTTATAAAACAGTCAAGTGGTCAAATGTATTTTCTCTTATCATTGTCAGTATTTTACTTGTCATGTCAGGAGAGGCACTGCCACTCGTGCCTCCCCTGACTGCACGTCTCTGAACTGACCTCATTTCATCAAAGGAATAGTTTGCATTTGGAAGTATTTATATCTTAACGTGTGATTTGCGTCTTTCCTCCTAGAGAAAATCCTGCTCGCCCCCATTCTGGGGCTACCATTGTGTATCTGTTCCTCCTTCCTCTTAAACCCAGCCGGTTGAAGCGGATGGCCACTTGTCCTGAGCCTGATTCTGCTAAAGGTTTCTTCCTGTTAAAAGGGAGTTTTTCCTTTCCACTGTTGCCTTTGTGCTTGCTCAGGATGGGAGCAGTCTGCTCCTCAGATAAATAATGATATTAACTGACTTTATAAGAATGTGAATGCTTTTGTTCAGTGCCCTGAGACGACTTCTGTTGCGACTTGGTGCTATAGAAATAAACAATTTAATTTGAGGTTGTCCGTTTTTGTTGCCACTCTTAAGCACATCTTTCAGGATCTGGAGTTTTTGGCTCATTCATGCCATGGCTTTAGTGTTTGCTCAACTTGGTCAATGTGCATTGTTGCTAGTTGAGCATGTGTGTTCTTACCCAGCACTGTGTAGGACTCTGCTGTGAACCTGTCTCTGCCGGGCCGAGCTGATGGAGCTCTCTTTGGAGACATCAGGGCTGACCTGGTTTCATATGAAGACAGTCAGCTGAGACCCTTGAAAACCCCTAACTCTGAAAGTTGCTCCTAAACACTGTTTCTCCTCATACACAAACCTGGCCGGGGAGTGCATGGGAGAATTGGTTCGGTTCTTCTCTTTGCGGATGTCTTGGACCTTTCCTCCACTGCTGTCCCACTCTACACTCAGGTCTTCCACTTTCAGGTTCTGGTGGGATGAACTGGAGTCCAGCTTAAAGTTGAAAGCTGGAGATGGGGAAAGAAGAAAAAACTGACACGCACTCCAGTATTTACCCTAGGTGAGTGAGCACCATGGAGATGTAAGAAATTGTCGAGTTCATTCATAAAAATGCAAGTAGTCCATTTTCTAAACACGATGTTTTCTCACCGTGTGTTTCTAGTGTGACGGGCTCAGAAAACTCTCCAGCCACGGCCTTGTTGCACGCCCTCACTCTAAATGTTATGTAGCGTGTGTCGAAGCGCAGACCTAAGGATAAAAAACAGTGAGTCACTTTGGTCAGAGTTTACCCACAAACCTCCAGCCACAGTCCTCCCCCTACCTGTGAGTGTGCACTCCATCTCTCGGATCCCCTCCACCACCATCCAGGGGTACTCCTCTCTGATGCGGGGCGGACCCTCGTGATTTGTGCGCCGATGTTCCAGGATGTAGTGATCTATCTTGGAATCGGGCTCCGGTAGAGTCCAAACTACAGTTACTGTGTTGTCGCACACCTGACACTCTGACACCCGGATCTCTGGAGTGGCAGGAACTGGAAAGAAAAAAATCATTTGTTCCAAGAACCATAACTGTCCTCTTTTGTTCTAATCCTTTCTTTTCAACAGTCAACAAAAACTAAATTACAGCCATATGTATTCATCATTTTATTGCAGTAACAGCATGGAGCCACTAGGAGGCAGGATTGCACCAAACAAATAATAAGTGGTGCATCACTTTGAATGAGCTCAAGTTTTGTCTCAAACAAATTAAAAACTCATAACGACAACCAGCACAACTATTTTCACTGGTGAGGTCAAACTGATGACGCTTAACCCTAATGAAACCAGTGAAGCCACTGCAGAGCATCGTACCATCCCAGCACAGTAAAGAAAGTCCAAGTTGTAGGGTGACAACACTTTGTGGTTTCCTGCTTTGCGGGACCCTTAGATTACAGGTTGACTCATTATTCTCTGACATTCTGGTAAGTGGAGCAAACTACAGGAAGTGCACCTTCAAGCCTCTGTTTCGCTGTAAATAAACTTTTAAGACTCACACTGTGTGAATTATTTTCACCTTTGTACCAAGAACAAATATGATTCTACTTTTAGAAATGCTTGACAGGAGAACTGAACTTTAGACCAGCTGACCTGCTAAACTGTTTAATCTCTTCAAATGTAAAAAAAAAAAAATTAAATAAATTAAAAAACAGCATTGAAACATGTTTTTACCCAAGACAAATTGAGTCAAACCAGACAAAAAGTCAGTGTCTGTATTTTAGGAAAGAATACTGCAGTTTAGAAATATGAGAAATTGAATTAAGTGAAGTGAAGCAAACTAAAGAGCGGTGAAAACAGATTTAAATGTTTTTACTTTGATGGTAGAATATTAAATCTCTGTTTGCAGCTGCATATGATAAAAGTGAATTTTGGAAACAGCAATGACAAAAATCTTTAAAGGACGACATCAAGCATCAGGATAAAAAAAAAAGAACATTTTTACATTGAGTTATAATTACCTGCCATTTTAGCAAATTCTTTAGCTTCGAATGAATTTTGTCATTGTTTTTTTTTTTTTTTTTTAATAACTGCATAAAATTACTCATTTACAACGGTAAAGAGAATATTCTAATTTAATCCTAGTTTTTCTCAGATTGGAAGTGATTGGCATTCAAGCACAACAATGTAGTTTTTTTTTTTCATTACAGCAGTCCCTCGCTACTTCGTGGTTCGTTTTTCACGGACTCGCTCTATCGCGGTTTTTCAAAGATTGGACATGACACACAATTGGCTGATCGATGGATGAGCCGCATGATCGGCATGGAATTTTTTTTTTCCAAGTAAATTATTTTTAAAAAATTTACTACCTGTGTGCAGCCCACAGCCTCGGGAGAAGCTTCCTCCTGCAGCTGATCAGCTGATCTCTGTGCAGAGAAGTGGGTGTGGCCAAGAGTGCATCATGACATTCTGTGCTCTTTTAGAGCATTTAGTTTAGAAACATTGTTTAGAATATTGCAAGAGTGTGGGAAGAGTTTATAATG